CAATGAACATTTTCGCCGTACTTACGTCACCCGGTGACCGATAGCGGTATGGTGGATTATTCCCCGTTTAGAATAGTTTCGTCTGGGCATTGAGTGCGGATATTAGTGACGGCATATAAGCATTAGCTGGACGCTCGCTGTCTCCAGACCCGGTCTCGGCTGGCGCCGACGGGCCGTCGTCTCCAGACCCGGTCTCGGCCGGCGCCGGCGGGCCGCTGTCTTCGGACCCGGTCTCGGCCGGCGCTGACGGGCCGCCGTCTCCAGACCCGGTCTCGGCCGGCGCTGACGGGCCGCCGTCTCCAGACCCGGTCTCGGCCGGCGCTGACGGGCCGCCGTCTCCAGACCCGGTCTCGGCCGGCGCTGACGGGCCGCCGTCTCCAGACCCGGTCTGGGCCGGCGCTGACGGGCCGCCGTCTCCAGACCCGGTCTGGGCCGGCGCCGGCGGGCCGCTGTCTTCAGACCCGGTCTCGGCCGGCGCCGGCGGGCCCGCTTGTCTTCAGACCCGGTCTCGGCCGGCGCTGACGGGCCGCCGTCTCCAGACCCGGTCTCGGCCGGCGCTGACGGGCCGCCGTCTCCAGACCCGGTCTCGGCCGGCGCTGACGGGCCGCCGTCTCCAGACCCGGTCTCGGCCGGCGCCGGCGGGCCGCCGTCTCCAGACCCGGTCTCGGCCGGCGCTGACGGGCCGCCGTCTCCAGACCCGGTCTCGGCCGGCGCTGACGGGCCGCCGTCTCCAGACCCGGTCTCGGCCGGCGCTGACGGGCCGCCGTCTCCAGACCCGGTCTCGGCCGGCGCCGGCGGGCCGCCGTCTCCAGACCCGGTCTCGGCCGGCGCTGACGGGCCGCCGTCTCCAGACCCGGTCTCGGCCGGCGCCGGCGGGCCGCCGTCTCCAGACCCGGTCTCGGCCGGCGCTGACGGGCCGCCGTCTCCAGACCCGGTCTCGGCCGGCGCTGACGGGCCGCCGTCTCCAGACCCGGTCTCGGCCGGCGCCGGCGGACCGCCATCTGGGCCAGAGTTGCTCGTCGTTATCACCCCATTATCGGGGAGGTGCGCCTGAAGCGGGCGGCGGCCGGGCATGTGTCTGATTCACCGGCACAGCTGCTCGGCCGTCGGCGGGTTCAATCGATCGGCGGCCGCCGCTGCTGCCGTGTGTTCCGCCGCGACTGTTGGACAGCGAGCCGCCCCGCGTCGCGCTCCCGAGTTTTTGCCCGCGAGCATCTGCGGCCCGTGCTATGCCTGAGGGGGGTGGAGCGACGGCGACATTGGATAGCGTGACTGTTGCCGACGGCGCCGACGAACTCGACCGCGGTCTGGAGGAGGCGGCGGTGACGGCCGAGCGCGCCGCGCCGTCGGAGCTCCCTGGAGGAGCCGACTCCGGCCAGGCGGAGACGGCGAGAGTCTTGGCGCCCGCGCGACCCGCGGAGACGTCGGGGGGCGCCACTGGACCCGCGGAGACAGGAGAAGCATCCACTGGATCGACGGATGCGGCAGGGACCTCTGCTGGATCGACGGATGCGACAGGAGGCTCCTCCGGATTGGCTGTGGCGGCAGGAGTCGATGCGGATGCACAGGATAGAGGCGCAGCTGAGGGTTCGCCGCGTCTGGACTCGAGCCAGGGGACGGGCTCTACGGCCGCCGCTGCTGATGCCAAGCGGAGACAGGATCTAGCGGCCTTTGACCTGCTACAGGGTAGTGTTGGACGCAGATGTGGTGCTTCCACTGTGCCCCCACGGGCCGGGTGGATTGAACCCTACAGTGTGTTCCCTTTGGCCCGTATACTTCTTTGGAGACATCTACAGGGATTATTCACGAGGTCTTTCCGCGGCATTTTCGTTGCAATTGGTTGCGACGATATTGTTGAGCGCACCACTGAAAGATCAGCAGGACGAATGGTGTCATGGCGCACGTTCCGTATGACATTGGTTGTGGCATTTTGAATATTTCAGCATGTCGGCCGCTGGTGTAAGCCTTGTGTGGCTTCCAGCATCGGTTTCGGGATTCTGTTGTTGGATGTCCGTAGGTGATTCTCCACTTATCAAAAATCCTTGATCCCACCTTTGCATTTTTTTAACTGCGCTGCTCAGTGGTCGCACCCTTATGCTATCACCGGCCATGAGAAGACCTGACCGCTGACCTTGCCTGCCGTCGGAGCGGAGCAGATGCCGCGACTGGTACCAGCCTGGCTGCTGGCCGTTTCGGCCGGCTGAGCTGCTGACCGGTGTTTACATCCGGCTGTCCTGCAGCTGTCTGTCTGCGTTGGAGCCGCCTGCCGTTACCGGACAGCGGCGCTCGGCCTTGTCCCGCTGTCCATATGCATCGCGATCTCGCCGGAGAGCCCGCTCGGCTGGTCATTTGGTCTCCGTTTGAGCAGATACCCAAGCGGTCCTGCTCAGGCTGACCAGCCCCGCCTGGCCATCACGTGGGACGTCTGGCCGTCACCGTTCTACGCTCCCGTTGCCTCCGTTACGGTGTGGTGTGTGGTGAATGCCGGTGCGGTGGGCGACAGTCGCCTGCCTGTGGTGAGCGACTAGTGGGTGACGCTGTGGGCCACCTCGCCCGATTGTCTGCCGCCGCTCCTGTCCGTGGGGCCGGCCGCCAGGCGCCGCCCCTGCCGCCGCCGCACCGCCGGCCGCGGTCTCAGCTGTCAGCTGTGGTGTCCCGCCGCCGCCTCCTCCCCCTTCCCCCTTCCCCCTCCCCGCCCCGCGGGTACCGGCCGCGGACGGCCTCCGTGTCGGCCGCTCGTGTGACGTGAAACGGCTCACAGCGTGCGCAGGGCGGGTGTCGGATGGTGAGCACGTAGAGAGGAAACGGCTGGAGAGATCCGACTCCGGCGACGTGTTCAATGTTGCACGTCTTCCGCTTCTACGTCTGATGGTCTGCTGCCGTGGATTTTATTTTTACGAGTGGAGAGGAATACTATGACAGGATGTGAGAGAGTGAATTATATTTTTATGGCTCACCTGGCTTTCACCACGAACGTTTTTTGATACTTTGGTGTCGCTCTTTGCTATGCTTTGGGTCCGCGAGCCCTATCAGGACACACTTGCAGACATCAACGTTTCTTTTCTGAAATCCTTTCAACCAGCGGCCATGTGACTTTCTGTGTAACAGTTTTCCCTAATATTCAATGTGCATGAATCATGGCTAATTCAACATGTGGGTTTTGGGGTCGCAATGACAGCATATGCCAGTCCTGGCCGTATATAGCGTCGCATCACATACGGCCGATTTGTCACCAATATCCGTCATACTTTGACAGAGACTGACGATGTGGTCGCCTATGATCCGACGGATGAGGGTTGGCAGAAGCGGGACTTAAACTCCCGGGCTTATTCTTGTCACGATCCCTGATCCACACTCACACATTTATCCCGTTTATCTCTGTGAATAGGTCACATACGAAATTGACTCGCGTCAAATTCCAAACCACTTTTCGGACGTTGAATGGTTAGGCTTTTCGAGGTGATATTTTAACTGCATTTCTGCACCACGCCTGTAATGGCGTGTATGAATTCATCCGCCATATTTCGCATGTCTTCTGCTGTTGAACAGTAAATGCCAGTTGTCATTTGTTTCCCGTTGTGCGCGAGCATCTGATTGAGCGTAACGCTGCTCGCACCAGCCCTGACGGGAGCGGCTTGTGATGCCGCCCGGCTCCTGTCCTGCTCGTACCAGCCGTGACAGGAGCGGCTTGTGATGCCGCCCGGCTCCTGTCCTGCTCGCACCAGCCCTGACGGGGGCGGCTTGTGATGCCGCCCGGCTTCTGTCCTGCTCGTACCAGCCCTGACGGGGGCGGCTTGTGATGCCGCCCGGCTCCTGTCCTGCTCGCACCAGCCGTGACGGGAGCGGCTTGTGATGCCGCCCGGCTCCTGTCCTGCTCGCACCAGCCGTGACGGGAGGGGCTTGTGATGTCGCCCGGCTCCTGTCCTGGTCGTACCAGCCGTGACGGGAGGGGCTTGTGATGCCGCCCGGCTCCTGTCCTGCTCGCACCAGCCGTGACGGGAGGGGCTTGTGATGCCGCCCGGCTCCTGTCCTGCTCGCACCAGCCGTGACGGGAGGGGCTTGTGATGTCGCCCGGCTCCTGTTGGCAGGGTTGCTGACGTCGCTGCTGGACGCGGCCAGTGATGTGCAGGACGAGGTTCGTGCGTCCGTCAGCACTGCCATCTTCACACTAGGCAGGAGCAAGCCGTACGATGTGCTGCTCACTGTCTTCAACTACCTCACGTCCGACCGGCCGAAGGTGCGCGCTCCAGCGTGCCGGCTCCGCCCTGCTGGCTCGGCGCGGGCCGGCCGTGCTTGCCCGCGCCCCGCTGCGGCGCGACCGCTCCGTCCGAGCCCGTGGCCCCGCTCGTTGCACGGCGGAGCGCCGGCGGGCGAACGGTGGGCGGAAACGGCCGAAGTGGAATGCTGTCCGTGCGAGACGAGAGGCCGTGCTTGTGATTGGGTTTGGCTGAGCGGCTTGTCGTTCGTGTTGTCTCTTGACCCGGCGGCCGGGCGTGTGATCGTGCCGCGCTCGGGCTGCCACAGGGCTTCATGCAGCGCATCTGCGTTCTGCAAGCTGTCGAGGAGATCTGCCGGGACGTGGGTGCCGAGCTCGACGACCACGAGGTCATGGAAATCGCTCCGCTCATCGTCAACGAGATGGTCAGCAGCAAGTGAGTGCCGCGGGCGCCGGGCGCCAGCGTTTTGCGTGCCGTGCTGGCCCGCCGGTGCGCCTCGCCGGTCAGCGTCGCCGCGCGGCCGGCTGTGGCCAGCGAAGCTAAGCAGTCGCCCGCTGCCAGTGTGGTGGACCACAGGCGGGCGGGAGCTAGCTGCTGTGCGTTCGTGGACCGGCCAGATGCCTTGCGTTGTGTTGCCTCGCCGTGGTAGCTGCTGCGGGAGTAGTCGCCGGCCTCGTGCCGTTGTAAGAGCAGCGCGTTGATGTGGCCGGGTGCGGGCTGTTTGGGGCTTGACGGCGGCCGGCCGCGGCCCACAGGGAGGTGATCCCGCAGATCCAGGCTCCCTGCTCGGAGGCACTGGTGGGACTCGGCCAAAACCACTGTTTCCAGGTGAGAGGGCCGTATGCGGTCGCGCTCTCGGTGGTGCTGAGGTGACAGTTACCACGTGCGTTTGACACATGCAGAGCTCTAGCCGTATTGTTCAGCACGTAACTGAAACTAAGGGCATTTGTCACCGAGCAGAAACGTGCACTTTTTAGGTAACAGCCACTGAATCGCACGTTTCCACGGACATGTTTTAAAGATGATGGTCATGGGATATCTCAGTTGAATTTCATTCCTGTCATGTCAAAACTAAAACCTATGGCTATGTTGCAGTTCACCTCCTTTTCTATCTACCCGGTATCGTCATAGTATTGTTCAAGCTCAACACTAAATTTAATTAAGCAAGAGCAGTATTTGTAGGCAGCAGCTGTGCTGAGATAGGCGTACATAATCATAACTATCTATCCCTCGCAATATGTCGTGATGACTATGTGTCGGACCTGGATATTTCAACAGTTTTTTTCTTCAATCACGTCGCCATACGTAGAGTGCCGTCCGCTCGGCAGCCGGCGGTCAAATGTCGTCATACGTAGAGTGCTGTCCGGTTGTCAGCCGGCGGTCAGATGTCGTCATAAGTAGAGTGCTGTCCGGTCGGCAGCCGGCGGTCAGATGTCGTCATAAGTAGAGTGCCGTTCGGTTGCCAGCCGGCGGTCAGATGCCGTCATAAGTAGAGTGCTGTCCGGTTGTCAGCCGGCGGTCAGATGTCGTCATAAGTAGAGTGCCGTTCAGTTGCCAGCCGGCGGTCAGATGTCGTCATAAGTAGAGTGCTGTCCGGTCGGCAGCCGGCGGTCAGATGTCGTCATAAGTAGAGTGCCGTTCGGTCGCCAGCCGGCGGTCAGATGTCGTCATAAGTAGAGTGCCGTTCGGTCGCCAGCCGGCGGTCAGATGTCGTCATAAGTAGAGTGCCGTTCGGTCGCCAGCCGGCGGTCAGATGTCGTCATAAGTAGAGTGCCGTTCGGTCGGCAGCCGGCGGTCAGATGTCGTCATAAGTAGAGTGCCGTCCGGTCGGCAGCCGGCGGTCAGATGTCGTCATAAGTAGAGTGCCGTTCGGTCGCCAGCCGGCGGTCAGATGTCGTCATAAGTAGAGTGCCGTCCGGTCGCCAGCCGGCGGTCAGATGTCGTAAGTAGAGTGCCGTCCGGTCGCCAGCCGGCGGTCAGATGTCGTCACCTGTGCGGGTCCGCTCCGCCGCCGCCGTGCCGATGCCAGGCGCTCAGACGGTGAACGGGTGGCCTCTGACCTGCAGGTGATGGAGATCCTGACCACCAAGCTGGAGACGTCGCAGCTGCCGCACTTCTTCACTCTGCAGACAATGGGCTCGCTGGCCACCTCCAACGTGTACACCATGGTGCCCTTTCTTAAGGGCATCCTGGGACCCATGCAGCCCATGCTGAACATGGTGAAGCAAGATAACCTCAAGTGGGCGTTCGCCTTCGGTGAGACACAACTCCTTTTCTTGAATACTGAAATTTTGAGTCACCTGTTTGGTTATGCCCGGGGGATAATTTTTGGTCATATTGTTACCAACACCATATAGCCCATACCATGGTAGTCTCATCGAATATTCAGTGAAGAGAACCATGGTGGTGTGGATGCTTATGGTGCCGTCTACAATTCAGTTATCATTTATTCGTAAGGGATCGTCGTCAATCCCAACGATGGCGTGGAACTCATGGCTATTTTTCACACGCTGTAGGATTCCGATCTACCGAATACTGGCACTGCGAAATGCGGAACACGTCGTTCGCTAGTGCGCAAAGCTTCCAATGCGCGTCTCATCCGTTTCCCTAACCCGACCCAGTCTCCCCCGCGGGGCGCCTGAGGGCCACCAGTAGGAGTGCGCGCGGCCGCCCGCGTGCCGCCGCGTCTGGGTGTGTGACGCGGCGCTTGGTCTGACGCACGCACCCCGCCCCCTCCACGCTCCGCCCTCTCGGCGTCCGCAGTAATCGCCAGGTTTTGCGAGTGCATCACCGAATACCTGGCGAACATCGACAAGGCGCCCGACCCCCTGGTCAAGAAGGAGTTCTACTCGACCGAAGTTAATTCGGCGTTCGACGTGCTCTTCAACTCGTGGCTCACGTCCAAAGACTCCAAGGTACGCGGGGTGGCGTATGCTGCCTCCATGGTTAGGATCTGAGCGGCTGTAGACTCAGCCGCGGGACAGTCACTGGCAGCTCCGGTTCGACCACGGCTTTTTGACAGCACTGTCCCGTCGCTGAGGCACGGAAGGCTCTAAATGATCACCATTGTGTACTGGGATAGTGATGGTGTTGTTTACTCCAGAACACAGCCGATTGGGTATGTAAGGAATACATGGACATGCTGATATAACAGTGATAATGATATTAACACTTCCACTGATTGACAGCTAACGCCTGTATTAAATCTGTCACGGTCAAAAGATAAGCCCATTTCCGGTGGTTTACCATGTAGCAGACGATGTAATAAAGTTCTGGCCTTCGTGGTCTGGGACAGGTATTATCCTTGATATCCGAGGTGGCGGCAATTCTGGCGTTTTGTGATCAGCTTGCTCGTTTCCCCCAACCGCGTGCTGAGTGCTGACCTTTATCCTCGGTCCTGCCCGGATCTGTTCGTGGCCGATGCTGTCCGTGAGCTGACCTTTGACCCGACCTCATCCGTCTGGTCACCGCTGGACCCTGTCGAGACCCGGACCAACCGCCGGCCTTCGACAGGACCAGTCACCGCCAGATGCGGCGCCGACCCGCCCCGTGTACCGACCGCTGACCTGGCCCACGGTCTGAGCTGCTGTCCGCTGTCCGGGGCGGCGGAACGGTGTGGTGACGCCGGCCACGTGCCGACCAGGTCCGCCTGACCGGGCGTCCGCCCCGCCAGGTGCGCCTTCAGGTGGCTGAGGCTATCGGCCAGATGGCGCACATCCTGGACACGGACAAGCTGTCTGACTCGCTGCCCAAGCTGCTGCCGGCGCTGCTGCAGCTGTACAAGCGGCACCCGGAGCCCTACCCGGTCACATGCGCACTGGCCATGGTGCTCGACGCCAGCCTCATCACCGGCAAACACGTGCTGGAGCTGCACATGGAGGCCATGCTGAACGCCCTGTTCCAGCAGGTGGGTCGGCAGTGGTACTCACGTGTACAGGCGTGGCTCCTCTAAAAGCCCTCCCCTCGGCTGGTGGACGGGCGTATATTACCATAAGGAAGCGCTGTGCTCGCCACCGTCGCTGTTTGCGGAGCGCCAGCTACCGCAGCCGTCGTGTTAGCGCCCTGAGGTCGTGTTCGTGGGAAAGCGGGTGGGGGAGCGACGGCGCTGGTAGTGCACGTCAGGACTGCAGGGCGGTCGGCTGAGACCCGTGCTGCCGTGTCGGCATGCGGGCCGAGCTGTCGTGGCCTGCACTTCTGTGTTCACTGGCCGGGCTCGCGGTCGCGCGGTGTGACGTAGGACACTATCCGCCGCTGACGTGTGGTCGCGCGGTGTCACGTAGGACACCGTCCACCGCTGACGTGTGGTCGCGCGATGTGACGTAGGACACCGTCCACCGCTGACGTGTGGTCGCGCGGTGTGACGTAGGGCACCGTCCACCGCTGACGTGTGGTCGCGCGGTGTGACGTAGGGCACTATCCGCCGCTGACGTGTGGTCGCGCTCGTTCCAGGTGTGCGCCGTCCCCGACTATACGATGCCGCTGACTGTGAAGAATCATTACGAAGTGCTGCGCTGCTGTGATACCCTGGGTGAGAGAGAGAGCGACAGAGCTCAGGGCTTCCCGTTCGTGGATGTGCCAGGCCCACACTGTGACACTACACCCCGGTTCACACCGGCCGCGAAAGGGGTACGGACCACCACAACGCAAACGTCTCTGGACAAATGTCTGCGCAAAAGTTTGAAGACCAAGTTGAAATATGGTAGCCTCTGGGCGATGCAGCCGCCTCCGTAACGACTCCGTAAGGTTACAGAGTCGAGTTGAAAATTCGTAACTATTGACGGATAACGGATGGAATTGTTACTTTCGACGTGCGAGGGAAATGCTGTTTTTTAATTTTTGATAAAATTAAAATTAAATGTACGTGCTATTTTTACGTGTACTTAAAAGTGTGAGCTTCTGGCGAGGACGCTTTGCTTCTGGCGTATCTGGAAGCGTAAAAGGAGAACTGTGGTAGAAGAGCACCGGTGCGAAAGCCATTGTTACGCCGCGGGGTGGTCGAGAGGGAGTTCACGTCACAACAATCTCACATTTCATATAGAATGTAAGCATGAACCGCTTGACAGCATAGGGAATTTCATGGAATTTGCTCAAGGGGATACTGCATATTTGACTAAAAACGAGCTTTGGAAACTTTGTACAAACGGCGATGCTTCAATTCATCCACACATGTGTGTTTCAAATTTTAAATATGCCGGCGGCGTACGGTGCGCTTTCCGACATAAATTTTCTGGTTCACACCCCGTCCCGCGGAGGGGTTATCAACGTTTCTGCGCATGCGTGGTTTTTCGTCTGCTCTCGCCCTTGCGGACGGGCGTCTTTCCGGAGGCGTTGCGGAGTCGTGAAGTCGGTGTGAACCGGGCTTACGGCTGATGTGCACGACGGGGTTTCCCCCTCTCAGGCTGTTGTACCGTCGGATCAGGATGGTAAGAAGCACTACCCGTGCAAGGGATTCCTGGACGGTGATTAGCAAAGATGCTTGTGGGACTACAGTCACGATTGGAGTAATGTACGCCACCATTTTCCGTTGTGCGATGCTGAGTGTGCAGTAATGTGACGTTGACTGACCGTTCTGTTCGGAACTCACCAATATGGCATGGTAGCGGTCCCCTGGCCGGCTCCTCCCGTGTCTGCACCGGATGGCTTGCAGGCACCGCCGCAGCCAAGCCCGGCTGCGCCCCCCCCCCCCCCCCTTGCCAGGTCTGCCGGCCGCAGGGTCGTGCTGTGCTGGTCTGACGCCCACCCTGGCCGGCCCCGCCGCAGCCAAGTGCAGCCCGGAGCCAGTGGTGGGCTTCTACCTTAGGCCGGCTGGCGCACAGTTCGGACCGCGTGCGCACGGGTAGTCTGACCGTGCTCAAGCACCTGATCAACGCGTCCGAGTTCGAGCTGGCGCAGAAGGTGCCAGACATTGAGGCCGGCCTCCGGCTGCTGCTCAACGATCCGTCCAACAAGGTGCGGCTGAGGTGGCCCGAACACGGGACGTGTGTCTGCCGTCCGTG